CGACAGGCAGAATCAGTGACGTGATATCTGCTTCATTAGCAAAACAAAATCCGCGTGTACTGCGCAATGCTAAACCTAAGTCCCGCGCTGGTTGTCAAACCTGGTGGCTGAGGGGCATAGATGTGTCGCCAATATAACAACCATTCTATAATTCTCTGTAGTTCTATGGTAGTGTAGGTCGTTGTGTTATTTAGTGAACGATTCATATAGAATCTTGAAACTTGTGATTTTTTACTTTCTATGGTCACGCTGAACATAAAGCAACCTGTTTCCAATTTTTTTAATATGTCTAGTGGCAAAATTTAAGATGGCTGCCAGCATATACCGAAAAAGCAATAAATCGTTATATTTGAACCAATTTATTCAATATATGCACAATGATAAGCTTATTATGGACATGCACTACGTTATTAGTCATCGCAGCCGCTGTCATCCTCATTCTCGTGCTCATCATCACTGCATGTCTGTCTCCTCATTTGCAACATTAGTGCATGATCCGTCAGCACCTTCACACTCGCAAAGCTCTGTGCATGCCAGATTATTGGTTTTGCAAGAACACCGTCCACTGCATTTGCTGGCAATACATGAACACTTCACGAGGTCCACGACAGCCTCTGGTGCTGGTGGAACTTTCGACGTCACAGGAACACAACGTTCGTCATCTAGTTGTTTCCATCCCAAAGATAATGGATCTAGAACAATTGGAACAGCTACTGTGTCCTGCACCCAAATATTAGCTTGAAAGTGTGCTCGCAGAATGTGTTCAGTTATGCATCCTTGAGTTGGAAGTAGTTTTCTACACCCTGGTTGCCCTTGAGTTGCTTGAACATATGCCACCGGAGTGCTTTAGCTGATTCATAACCAGATTTGAAGAGCTGACACACGAACTTTTCACAACCAGCCAACACCTCCGGAGATGGATACACACCAACAACCAAGCCCAGCTAGTGCATGGATTACGTCATCACTAGCCTTCATGAAGAATTTAAAGCAAGTAGGCTTTCTCTTTCCCTGGATGTGGTATCACAACCAGTGAGCGCGTGGAATCCTGGCAAAGCTGCTGCACGTTCTGGGCCAATGGCCATGTAGATAGGCTTGAGTTTTATCTTCCGTCGTCGATCTCCAGCGCCCATGATGATGATGTACTTTGTGCTGAGGTCTGGCACCCTGCGTAGAGCGAGCACCAACACATCTGTGTCAGATGAGTATATATGTGGTGTCTTACCCAAACTACTCACTGCTACTGCATACATGACCAGTAACGTGTCGGCTTCCTCCTGTGTACTTGTGATGTTCACCATGTTTGGTTAGGAAGACATAACACCTTTGTGTGCCTGGGTAGTGATCGGCAGTTTGCACAGCTGGGAAGCTTTTTGTGCAAAGTATAGCACGAGGTTAGCTTTGGTTTTCTTGGTTCCCAGGAATGCCTTAAAGTCTTTGATAGGTGTGGAATCTTCTATTTTGTATTCCTTGTCTTGTGCTCTTCCTGCTGTTCGGAGCTGTCTTGTTCTGTCTCTCATGGAGTTTGTAACAGTGTAGTTATCAAATTATACATATATGTCACTGTAGCCTCGCGACTTGTTGTCAACACTTCGAATGAAACATTCTGACAGGTCTCGGCAACACTTTATATCATCCTTCCAAAGAACCATCTCCTGCACGAGAGCCATGCCGTCTATTACGATGCTGGTCAAGACATGTGCTGATTGACTAGGGATGGTCGGCTCTTCTATAGATTCTTCAGAAGTTTCTGTCCCCAAAACCACTCCTTCCAGTTTATGGATGAGGGTTGACTTGCTTGTAGTGGGTTGCAGAGAACAATCGGGCCTCATTAGACTAGCATTGTAATGGGAAAATTCATGTGTTCCCACAATTTCCTGCAGGTCCAGTTCTCTTGAGGACTTTGCAACGAGGAGCAACCGAACGAACAGGGAGTTGGTTGCTTTCAAGCTGACTACTGCGGAGGATGCCTTCAGACTGATACTTTTACATCCATCTTTCCAAGTCAGATACTTGAGCTTCGACATTTTGTCCCACGTGTTCTTGTCTCCGTTGACCCTCTCATCAACATATGTTGCAAGTGCCGTGTTTCCACGTACATCTATGTCCAAAGCGCTACGCTGCACTGCCGTTGGCATTGTCCACTTGGTGACGAAGTTGACCAACTTCATTTCAGATCCATCGTTGAGTTGTCTCACAGCCTTTTCCTGTCGTGCAGTTTTAGATGCTGAGTGTTGGTGATGCTTCTTTGGGATAGAATCTGATATGTTCAACATACGCTCGGTTTCTCCAGCCAGCCTTGCCAGTTCTGGAGAGCTGAGGCAATATTTGAGCAGACCCTGGGGATCGGTTGTTAAGCCAGAAATGGCACCTTAATTCACCTTTGTGAATCTTGTTCACATGTTCCTGTGCGTGATCAGGTCCAATAGATGTGAACGACAAAGTCACCACTCTTGAGGTGTTGCCATATCGAGGGATGGTTGCTTTTTAGGTGATACATATGTGCGATGTAGTCTAGGATGTTCTGTGCATAGGCATGCCTGTTATATGCGAAAAAGTAGATGCACATCTTTTCCAATGAGGCGAGGTACAAGAGCCAGTTATGATTGCGGGTACCTCGCATGAACTGGGGTAGGTTGCTGACCTGTCTCATATACATACGAGCTCACTTGTGCATAGGGTACTGCTCATTAACGTGGTCGAATGCTTCTAGAGTGTCCACCAACTTCAGATCGGACGCCACGTTTACCAATTCACGATGAGCTTGAGCTATATCCAGACCATTTTGAAGTGATGTTCTCACATCTTTTAGTGAAGACGTCAGTTTGTTGAGTAGCACTGGATGTTGTTCGCAGAATGCCTCGATCCACAAGTCAAATAAAACTTGCAGAGTAATCTGGTGAGCATCCAAGGCTCTGTTGTGGTGCTTTCCATTCAGTATTTGTACTGCAGTGACGCTACTGTACAGGCCGGCTTCAATCCATGCTTCATCTAGACCGCTGCTCTCAAGAGTCGCTCCAAGACACCGTAAGGCACAGAGAACTACATGAAAAGAACCGGGATTTGGGATGATGTTGGCTTGGAACTGTAGATCCAGGAAGCTCAATTTTCGAACTCTTTTATACAAGTCCATATCTAGCCACACAAGTATTGGCTCATTGTCCTGATTGTCTCGGGCCAGCAGTTTGTTCAGATTAGAGAACTGAGTCAGGGCTGTGGTAAGGGTCGTCCACTCATGGGCTGGTGCATTTATGATGGGCAGTGCATGCACTTTGTTCAGTTTGATAGATTCAGTGTTGGATGCTGACGTACGCAGAAGTGAATTATATGCTGTCCAGACAGGGACAGGTTGGTGTCGCACATGAATCAGTTCACCAACTCGAGAGCTGTCGTCGGGTTCAGCTAGCTCAATAACCCCAGAGGTATATAATATCTAATATAATATCCATATATATATAATATCCAGAGGTCCCGCTTCAGATGTCATTATTTACCTGAAAAACAAATATACATATAGTAAAAAATCCCAAGTTTCCAGATTCTATGAACCGCGTTCACTACACAACGACATTATATACCTTATATTGGATGATTATTCACTTTATGCTTTGTGTTATTGATGATATAAGTACTTCAAAGAATCCAATGACCGAAAAAAACGATAAAACGATATACTGGACAACTGTATCCGTTACAAAATCCAAAATAGTTGGCAATAAAGCGATTATTGCGTTAAATGACCGCCATCTTGGATTTAGTGAGTATAGATGCTGGAAAAAATTGGAAACAGGTGGTTTTGAGTCCTATGTGATCTAAATAAGTCAATAAGTACCAGTTTCAAGATTCAATATGAAACGTTCACTCCTCTGTTAATTGCAACATAACCGCATACACTATGGTCTCTGTTGATTATGCAGCAGTTACATCAGCGTCGCGACAATGTTGTGCAATCATCGTCTGCAAACGTTCCAACGCTAGGATATAGCGGGTAGGGGGCCTACTTGAAATTTAGAACGCGGAGTGCGTTAAACGGCGTTATTGCACGCTAAACAATAAGGTAAAACTCGAAAATATATACAAGCGCGTCCACACGCAGACACGTTGCATTCTCCAGCGGTGTGTGCGAGTTTTTGTGCTTGCCCCGAGACGGAGTTATGAATATAATATGGATTCTAGCGCACAGGTATATTATAATTTCGCTACGGATGTCATATTAAGCGCGAATCTCCACGAAATTCATACCGGCAAGGTTTATATCTCTAAAAAAATTATTCCGATTAAAAAATTATTACGTTTGTACTTGCCTAGTTAAGCATCATATAAACAACATTGATCGGCATTATGCTTAATTAAAGAAGAGTGGTAAAAAAGAATGCTATTCGGTTTAATGTTTTAGACATCGTTTAATATTGCCGCTCTGCGGCCATGTAATCGTATTACAAACCGGTGCTAGCAAACCCTAACGAGCGACTTGCATCTCTCATCTACCATTTTCTAAAACTACGGCGAATGTTGTCCAATTGTGTTTGCTACAAGCAAGACTCGCACATTTGGGTATGTTTGCAGTTTTACATTCAACGCAAACGTTTGCATAAAATCCGGTTAAGGGGGGTCCATATTTGCATTTTTACAATGACTTTCGCTAGCACACTCACAATAGCTAAGTGATTTCCAGTAATTTTGGTTTTGACATATTTTGCGTTATTCGAGGCATTAGCACTTCTCCGTGCGAGCACAACAAGCGTCTATACGTACGCACGCATGCACGCACGCACGCACGCACGCACGCACGCACACAAACACGCGCGCGCGCGTGCACCATACCACAAGCACACACACACACACACACGCCTCCCCCACACGCACAGACACCCCCACACAAACACACACCCACGCGCGCAGACACAATCTCGTTCCATGAGCGTAATGCCGAGAAAGTTGCCTTGAATGCCTTAACACCATGAAGACGTTTTTGATTTATTTTCCGCTTCCCGCAACAGCGATCTGCCACCTATCTCGGGAGAAGATACAGTTCGTACGAGAGCTAGGCGAGGGGGCGTTCGGTCGGGTATTCCTCGGCGAGTGCTTCCATCTGGCGGGAGAAAGTCCGACCCTGGTCGCTGTGAAGACGCTGAAGTGTCAGTCGGCTGAGAACGCGCTGCACGAATTCATGGCCGAGGCGGACATCATGAATCGCTTACAGCACGAGAGCATCGTCACCTTCCACGGCATCTGCATCGACGGGGACCCGCTCATGATGGTGTTCGAATACATGAAGAACGGCGATCTCAATAACTACCTCAGGTGCTCGATAGATGGAGGCATGATCGCGAGATGAGCGAATAATACGTACATACATTATAGATCTAATAATTAGTCATATTAATGATACAATGATACATTATACATTTACATTTACATCTACATCTACATCTATAGCTATATCTATATCTATATCTATATCTATATCTATATCTATATCTATTCCCTATTATCTACTCCTGATCTATATCTATATCTATGTATTTGTCTATCTACCTATTATATTTACTCATACACGCGTGCGCACACACCTACGCACGCACGCGCGTAAGCACGCATACCCCTAGACATATGTATGAGTGAGGTCATGCGTGAGTGAGTACTTGCGCGTGCAAGAGTGCGGAATTAGCGCATGTGTTTGTGTGTGCGTGCGTGTATGCGTGTGTCTGTGTATTATATGGGATATCTATTATTGCGGCTGTTGAACATCCGCGTATATGCACCCGCATTCACACATGCATAAACGTTGTCCCGATTTATTTCATCATCCCCGCTGAAAGTGCAATGAATTTAATATTGTGACGATGATTATTCAGGCGCTTATGCCCCGCGGGAGAGATATTACCGCGTGCAGATTAGCACGACGATGATGACGGCCGAACCAAGAACGTCCACGGGGAATTGGGTCGACCGTGCAAAATGACTACTCGATTCATTTATATAGTAATTAATTCTATTTCATATTGATCGCACGACAATCTCACAGGACGCAATCATACTATCCGATAGTAGATTTCAGCCGCGTGTACATAAAGAGTACACGAACACGCACACACGCGCGCGCGCACGCACACACCCTCAGACACACACACACACACGCGCGCGCGCGCACACGCACACACGCACGCACGCACGCGCGCGCGCGTAGAGAAAGAGTGAGAGCGAGAGGGAAGGGAGAGAGGGGGAAAGGATAGGGGGAGCGAGTGAGCACGAGAGAGATAAAGGTAGATAGACAGATAAATCAATCAATAAATAAATAGATAGATAGACAGATAGCTAAGATAGGTAGATAGATAGATAGATAGATAGATAGATAGATAGATAGATAGATAGATAGATAGATAGATAGATAGATAGATAGAGTAGATAGATAGATAGTATAGACTAGATAGTAGTAGTAAGTAGTATAGTA